TCTTCCAATCGTAAGATTGCAATTTCTTCGAAATGTATTCTATCTCTTTCTGTTTGTTTCTGAAGTGGTGTTTGTCTAATATTCTCTGCATTTCCTCATTAGGTTCTTTAAACTTAGAATTTATATACTCATTTATAGCATTATACTTCAAAACTCTTCTTTGGTACTTCTTTATCCAATCCAACAACTCAGAGTCTTTTATACATACTAACTTAGACTTCTTTATAATATCTTTGAACGAATTGACGGTTTGGTCAAATTGACCAGAAGTACTACAAATGACTACTAACTCATAGAATGGGTTCTTCTCATCTAGTTCTTGTTGTTGTGCAGCCATTTTAAGATAAGTGAAAGTCTTACCAGACCCAGGTGGTGCAATTAGACCTGTTATACCATTCTGAGCAAATAAGAACTTTTCATGTATAGGCTTTATCTGAGCATTTTCTAACTTCCTCTTGTTCTTGTTTAAAACATTCTCAAATTTTTTGTCAATGTCAGCAAACTTTTTTCTAACATATTTTTAGAAAAATTAAAATTTTTATCTTTTAGAAAATGTCTAGCGATTTCGCTATCTATATTCGAGACAAACTTTTTGACAGCAAAACATCTGTCGACCATAAAATCTTACATAGTGTAAACAAGAAAGGTGAATTTGTTCTAAAGTTCTGTTTCTGGGAATATGACAAGAACCATAAAACATTACAAAGAGCAGTCTTAAAATTTGTCAATGACAGACTTGTTGACAGAGATGACGCCGATTGGAAAGATGAAGTCCAACAAAAGTTCTTAGAATGCAAAGAAGACACATGCGCTGTTCTTGAAGATGAAATAGAAAACAGAATAGATGAGCTATTAAAGGACAAAGAACTTTTACATAGATAAGTTAGTATACATATCATGTGTACGGAGGCACTGCGAGCCTCCTTACCCATTATATGTGAATTTGACACTTTACAAAACCATTAACGTATATTTTACAACACAAACACAAACACCAACTTAACATTAAATATTTATAAAGCCGCCAACCACTTCACCTCACTAACGTTTTCACAAACGACTTCACTACTGTAAAAAATAAACGTTCTCACTTACAAAAGTATTGCAACTCTTCCCATTGCTGTGCTTCACACAATAGTTCATATTCTTCAGTATCGCTGCTGTCGCTCCAATCGTCAGAGTCAAAGTCACTGTCAAAATAAATGTTAGTAAGTTTTGACAAAGCTAATGAAACACGTTTACCGTTTGTATCGTATGCTTGTATAAACTTTCCATTCTTCATTCCTTCATAAACGCTCAAACTAACTTTACCCTTTCTCCCTCGTATCTGATAGAATGTATTTTCACGAGGAACGAAGAACAAATTCTTGAACTCATGACCGTTGTAGTTTGTTATCTCAATAGTTTTCGTCATTTATATAAAAATAAAATAAAAATAAAATAAAAAATAAACTTAAAAATAAATGATATCACTACCTTCACACGTATGAAAACATAGCACAAAAATAAATTTAGGGTAGAAGGTTAGATCTAACCCGATTTCTAACCTCATTTCTACCCTGTTGAATTCATTGCTTTATAACTCTCTTCCTTTCTCCAACTCTTCTAACTTCTTCTTAAGTTCAGCAATGTTGTCCTCATGAAGTTTAATCTTTCTCAAAATTCCTTCTTTATCTAATGGTTGCTTTATCTTTCTAAACTGAACTCTACCATCCTTCATAGTATGAACGTAAAAACCTTCTGGAATAGTTCCTGATTTAATGTATTCTACCAAAAACTTTTGTTTCATTGCTTCAGTGACTTTAGTCGTCATTTTACTCTAAATAAAATATTCAAATAAAATAAAAAATAACGTTATTTTTTCAGTAAGGAAACGCAGGAGTTTTACGATTTATTTGAGGAGTAGGTTCTGGTTTAAATGTTGGAGTCGGTTTAGGAGTTGACTTTTGAACAGGAGTTTGTACTTCCATAAGTTCAGGAGTCATTGAAGGTTTTGCTTGTGAATGTTTTGTTTGTGAAGGCGTTGGAGTTTGTTTAACTTCAGCTACTTCAGTATTATTTACAACATTTGCTTTATTTCTTTTCAACATCATAACTGCTACTGCTGTAGCTAGCAAACCTAGTGGGAGACCATATTTTATATAAGGACTTGACCAAATGCTATTTTTGACAGGAGCTGGTGGAACACCTAACATTGGTGAGACTGCTCTTTGCCATTGTGCAGCTCGTAAGAAATATTCAATAGGTGCTCCATAATCGTTTGGTAAAGTTTGTTTCATAGATGGTGAAGGTTCACGAGAGCTTGATGAAGAACTCATTTATAAGCTTTAAAAATAAACGTTCATCCTTTATTCCTCACTGTCGTCCGTGGCTAAGTTATAGTCATCTAATCTTATTATGGGGATGCCTGACTGTCTTACCTGAATGGCAAAGCAACAATCCCTCATAAATCCAATAAGTGGCTTTGGTACATTTTCAGTTGCTAGTTCAATAGGTCCTTTAACAGACAATTTGTATGTTATTGGAGCAGTAGATGTTTGACCTTGCTGGAAGCAAAAGTCCACTTCTGTTGGAAAACCACATAAGAAATGTGTGTTGTCATAGCTATCCCATTTATGTTCCACACTACCATCATCCACCAATGACCTCATAACATCTTCATTAAATCCTATCATATCATTGTTTGTATTGCAGGCGTTCGCAACCATTTCATAAAATACAGGTCCATATGATTTTTCGGGTTCTGCAGGCATATTTCCATAAGCTCCCATGGAAAGCTGAAGATATTTAAACTTAGGGTTCTCAAAATTAACATAATAGTTGTCTTTCTTTCTAAATAGTGCCCAAATACTTTTAACATTAATAGGCGTATAAGCTGCTGTAAATGTTGCACTTGAACTATCTGTATTCTTTGAGAATGAACCGTCCATAGGAATCCAATCCATAACTTTAACAGGAAAACATAAAGCCTCGTTTGTATAATGTTCTACAAGTTCTGTATAAATGTTAGGGTCTAAAGAGAATGACTTTGGATGAATGAAACATTCATTAAAATCCATCTTTGTTCGAAATAGTTGCTGGGTTACAGTTGTAATAGTAACTGTTCCACTAGCTTCTACTGCCTTCGTTATCATAGTGAATGGTTCATTCCATGGAACAAATTTATTTGTCGGTGGATTTGAATCTGAAGCAAATGCAACTTTAATAGTTGGATTGAAAGCAATGATATCATTTACAGATATAGATGTGCATTGTAAGGCGTCGCTACTGAACTTTACTTTAAGCTGAATGTTTCCTGCAAAAGCTGGAATAAATCGAATAGCTTCTAATGGAAGGAATCTTCTAACAGGAATTCTTAAACGAAGCTTAAAATCAAATGATTTTCCTGCTGTAATTGGACCACTAACAATTTGTCCTGTTCTGCATGTTCCCGAATGACTCCATACATCTTCATGTCGAGTCTTTGAGAAAACATCTACTTTCTTTATTTGTTCGGTAGTTTGTGAGTTTGAAGTTATATATGCTTCTTCTCTTGCGTTGTCTTGAGAATATACGATACGACCATTTGCAAGGATTTGATATCCAGCAACTGCATAGAAAGCGTCATCGAAACCAATCCAAAATCCTGGTGGGTTTGTTTTATTGGAACCTGAACCAATTTCTTTATCTACAATAAATTGACCTTCCATTTTATACGTAATGAATGTATTGTAAAGGTCCAACATATTTTCACCAGGAGGTGAGAGATTGAATGTTACCCATGTGTTATCTTTAGCAGTTCCAGGTTGTGATGGAATCTTTGCGTCAGAATATTTTCTATTAGTGTCACCAATTTAAACTGCATTGTCTATGATATCGAAATATGAGCGAATCTGATGAATATGCTCTGCTGGAGTAAATTCGTTTAGCTGTTCGTTCTGCATGTCTTTGATTCGGATAAAAATATCTATTTACTTCATTATTCTCACTCTTCTTCTTGGCATTCGTGGTGGAAGTTGTTTCTTGACATTTTCAATGAACTGTACATTCTCTTTTGTCTCAACTTCTTTCACTGGCGGGTCAGGATTCTTTGACTCGGTTTGTTTTTCAATGAAATTCACGAACTTTGCAATAAGCTCTTGGTTCGTTATTGAAAGTACATCTGGCTTCTTTTCTTCTGGTTCTATTGGTGGCTCAGTTTGAACAGAAGGTTTTATATGGGCTTCGCCCTCAGTACCATGCACCTTAATGCTGTCGCTCTCTGCATTTGCTAATGGAACCTTTCTTTTTCTTACGTATATTTTACCATCTTTACTCTGACTTACGTAATAGAAAGGATGTTGTATTCCTCTTGCGTCATTTAATATAATAGACTCTCGCTCTGATTTTGACAAGCTCATTTTACATCGGTTAAAGTTTTAATTTTGTTTTTTATCTGCAGTCAAATGACTCAGACAAGCCCTACGGACAAGACCCAAGGGGTCATAGATGTTGAAGCATTGAAGAAAGAAATTCGCGAGCAAATTTTATCCGAACTGAAGGAACAAAAACAAGAACAAAAGCCAGAGAGACCAAAGAGAAAACTTAGTGAAAAACAACTTGCTGCATTAGCTGCTGGAAGACAAAAGAACCCAAGACTACTGGCGAAAAAGCTAGAGAAGAAGCTGAAGCAAAAGCTAAAGAAGCTGAAGCAAAGAAAGAGTAAATGGTTATTTTTATCGGAACTAAATGTATAGACAAATACCTTTATCTGTTGCGTTCAGTAGTGAAAACCCTGACGTCAAAATAAAGGGGAACAGAGTAACGTTTAAGTTTCCAACAGACTGGATTGTGAACATAAATGAAGAAAAATATATTGGCATAACAAATATGTATATAACACGTGCATTTAGAAAGTTGACTTTATACTTCAAGTCGAGATAGAAAATGACGAACAGTCTTTAAGCGCCCAAAACATTCACATATACAAATACTTTAAAGACGATACAACATTGTTGCAATGTATGATTTCATTTAATGAAATGTTCGAGAAAAAGTTTAACATTGAAGTACAAACTTTACAGCCTTTACGTGAGTTTCTTGCACAACTGAAAGAAGAAGGTAGTCAGCCACAACTTATAGACTTTCATTATGAATTTAATGAAAATGAAGATGGAACACATGACTGTCAGTTTGTTATATATTCACCATTCAATGAAGTAGCTAAAAAGAAAGAAAATCCATTACGTATAAGATTTCAAATCTCTGAACCAAGTGATGATTTCAAGAATGTTTTCAATTATGATGCAATGCTTCCGAGAAAAAATGAATTTTCAAAGATTGTAACACCTGGCATTTGGGATAGAAAGCAAGCTATATTATATTCAAACTTAAGTAAGGGAGTTGAAAATGAGTTCATTGGTCATACAAGAACTTCACCACTTCCTAACCCTAAATACTATAAATTGACTGGCTTCAATCGTGAGTTTTGGATAGACATGTTCTCCACTCATGACCATAACTGCCCAGTGTTCTTACCTCCAGACCATAAGGACTGTCTCTACATTGAAACACAACTCTTAAACTCTACAATAGCTGTATTGTAAATGATCACATGGGCTTCGCCCTTGCCGCTAGCGGCTTATTTTTATCATGAATGACCACATTGCTGACAAGAATAAATGACCTCAGAACTTCAACTTACGAATAAAGCTTGTTTTAGTCGTTATTGAGAAGTTAAACTTTTCAGCAAAGCAAGGACTAGAAGACTTACATAAGTCAAATCCAATCTCTTGACCGTCATAAAGTGCTTTATATAACTTCATAACACTGAACTCAGAGTCTTTGTCAAATTTTCCTTGCGGAACCATTATACCTTTATCTTCATCATAGAAACACTGAACAGAGTCAGAAAACATTTCATTAGCGGTTAAAGCAATAACATCTTGCTTCACGCCTTTCATTCTGCAGTGAAATGCAACTTCATTTAAATCATTCGTGAGTAAGTCTATGTAAGTCTTCTTTCCACAAAATATTGACTTGTATGCTAAACTTTGTTTATCTTTTGTGATTTCTGCAAAGTCGCTATGAAATTGACCAAGGTTTTTACCAATGAGAACTCTTCCATAACGTTTCTCAAACTCTTCAGCTAAACGAGGGATATCTTCATTGTAGAGATGCATACTGTCCGTATCGCTATAAAAGATGTCCATTCCTAAGTCCTCAGCAGTACAGAATACTTCACACATTATTCTCTTCGACATAGACAGAATGTTAACACCAAGTGGACAGAAGTTAAAGTGTCTGCAAATGCTTTTCGTTAGCTTGAAAATAGTTTTATCTGAACCATCCAAACCTTCGAACTTCACTATATGGTTGTAGTTTCTGATGGCATATCTTATAGCATCTTTGTCATTTACTATGGTTATTTTTGACTCAATAGGAGATAGAATAGTTTTGCCATAAATACTGTTCAGAATGAGCTTTATATTTTCTTGCAAAGGATTTCCTTCTTTCTTATACTTTAACCTTAACTCAAACAACTTCTTTACTTCATCTCTTATTCTAATATCTCTGTTTCCATCGTAATAGTATCCTTGCAACACTTCACATTTGACACCTTGATATTTTATGAGGTCTTGTAATGTTATATGGTCAACATACATTAAACAGCAAGTGTTTGAACTTCTGGGAACGTTAAGTTCTGGATTTAGTTCAGGGTCACAAACTATTAAAGGAAAGTGTCTATGTATGCCAATCTCTTTTATCTTAATGAGAACAAAGAAGCCAGACATAAACTTTTCACCAATGGGTTCCTTTTGGTCGTCATCGAATAAATGTCTCATGAGATACTCTGTGCTTAGCATCTCATCCTTCAATACTTTTGGAATTCCTTCTAAAGTATAAAGTCTTGCTATAGCTGATGGATATAATGAAACAGCGTCGAAATCAGCAATGAGTTTCTCTTTACTCTTTTGTTTAATGTTATCTGACAACATACATCTTCCACCTTGAATGCATCTCGAAATAAACTCTCTTGGTTTATTTGAGAGGTCATATAAATTTCCATTCGGGAAGTACACTCTGTTCTCAAATAATTTGTTAGCAATTGAACAAATACTAACGTAGTCATAAACGTTTAAATCAAATTCTTTCAATATGTCATTGCGGAACTTAACAAAACCTTCTCTTAAAATTCTTACATCTTGTTTGCAATAAAATGTGCTATACTTTTCTAAGTCGAAGTGGCTTTCATCTATTCTGCAACCTTTGATGGAATCTATGTTTTTCATGAATGTATCCGCATCCCGGATAAACTTACACGCTTCAGAAATGACACCAGTTCTGTTGTCATTTGCTAACAAAACACTGCTGTAGTAGTTGTATGGAAATACTTCTTTCGGTCCTGTTTGTAAGTTAAACATAGCAGGAAATAGTTTAAGCTTCTTATTTATAACACTGTAAGAGTCTTTTATAATAATTGCCCGTCCTTTATATAAACCAGTTATTTGCATTGTTCGTGAACTTTTAATGATGGGAGTTCCTTTCACTTCTGTCATGTGTCTTAAGATGAAGTTTATATCATAACTGAGGTTATGGAAATATATTAAACTCTTGTCAGGAAGTCGTTCCAAAAATTCTGTTGCACAGTTCTGACCCCAAATGCTTTCACTCACTGAACCATCTTCACTGTCATAACAGATGTTAAAAGCTTTATGAAAGCCATCAGTACTGCACTCAAAGTCAGCAAAGAAAACATGCTCAGGAATGAACTTGCACTTATTTTTATTTACTTCTTTTGACTCGGCTTTCTTCTTCAGTTGTACACAATACTTTGGAGCATATGACAAGTCTTTAAATGGTGCAAGGTTCTGTTTATATAAGTCAGTCGTATATGTGAAAAGTTCTCCATAAGAAATAGGTTCGAAATATTTGCACTCCCACAATGTTTTCATAACATCCCATAGTGGTGTAGTTCTATCATTACGAACTACATATTTATCTTCTCTCTTTGTATAAATCTTCATCTGTTTCTCAATGTTCATTCCACCACATTCCTTCAAGATTTCTATATAGTTGCGAATGAAATATGTTGTCATTGGTAATCTTTCATTTAGCATGTAGTGGTCTTCAACAAGAAGTAAGTCAATAGTTCGAATAGTTTTACATTCTTTTGGTATATATCTCTTTATTTCATTATGTCTAGAGTCATTGAAATAACCAATGGTAACATTAAATGCTATACCTGTTGCATCAGAAATTTCTTGTACTTTACTTTGAGGAAAGTCTCTAACACGAATGACTTCTCTCATGTGGTCCACCGTCTGCTCATCTACTCCAGCCTGAATGCAAGCATAAACGAAACAATTGTCCTCTGTCATAAGTGTTGCAGTTCTTTTGTTCAGTTCATTGAAGATTTGGTAGCGTTCAAGATTTATAGGTAATGTGCAAAGATACTTCCAGAACTGACCGCTTCTCTTTTTATAAAACTTCTTTTCACCATTATCTTTCCAAAAGCTTTCTATAAGTGCTGGGTTTCCTGTTTGCTTAAGAGCTTCCAAAATGGCTTTCTGGTCATTTGTCAGTGTGCTTTCATCTCTATATGGTCTCTTTTTGGTTTGCCTTTCTTTACATCTGACATCGTTAAGCCTTCATATTCTGTTAAATCATACATCTTTATTTCAGTAAGATTCTTTATGTTTGTCAAGAAGAAGTCATAGTGCATTTCAACAATACCTGCAGCATTTGCTTCTATCTCTGATATAAAGTTCTCCTTCAAGAGCTGATGTAGTAATGTTCCAATATTATTGAGGTTTAACGTAGAACATTCATACTTTCCACCAAGTTTATAACATACCATCCATCTCTGTTGTGAGTTTATTTTAATTTTCTCTAAGAGTCTCATGAAAGCCTTACCGAAATGTTTGTGTAAGTAGTCTCTGTTTGGTTCATCTAAAGCTTCGATGTTAAAGTCAATGAGTCTATTGCCTGACTTCACATTTCTCTTCCTATTCTCTTCATCTTTCTTTAACCATCTCTCACCTTCTTTTGGTTTGTCGTCAATGGAACGAATGACATCGTTAGCTTTGCGAACTTGTTCTATAGCACTTTTAAACATCTCTCTTCTCTGTTGTTTCAGTGTGTCGTCTCTCTTTCGTGTTTCACCAACGTTTGCATTTGTTATGTCATACATTTCTCTTCTTACTTCATGAGGTACTGAACGTCTATGATATAAGTCAATAGCAACGTCATTTAAAGGAAATGTTTTGTTATTAATGTAATCATTAATTTTCTCGTAAGTGACTACACCTCTGTAATCATTGAGGTATTTAGCTAATGAAGATTTGTTAGTCGCATATCTTTTGCTAACTTCAATGTCAGCATTCTTCAATAACTTCTTAATTTCTTCATGGTCTAATCTAGATAGCTTTTTATACATCATTTATGGAAAATAAAAAAAATATTTTCCGTAAAAAATATAATTTAAAAATAAACTTAATTTTTTAAATAATTTATATTTTTAATTTTAATAAAATAATGTCTGAGTACAAGTTCTATTCATACAATGCTCTCGCTACTGCTGTTAAGGGTGAATTCATAAATGGAAAAAACGTGAACGTTATATTCAATAAAAAGTCTGTGAAAGAATCTAAATACGGTCAGTTCGTTAAACCATACGCTATCATTATTGACAGAAAACGTTACACACCACATGAAATAGCAGTATTACTTAAACAGAAAGGAATATTTGTAAATATCAAAGATACACATTATACGATTATGAAGAACTCTAACGTTGAATTTTTCAGCATTGTTTTAGATTTATCGCAGCAGAAAGAATTCAAAAGGCGCAAGGCGCCGAGATGGACTCAAAGAGCCCTCCAGGTGAAGTAGTTGTGAAATATTATCCTTCATCTCTGAAGACAATAACGAATAAAGATATAATCAATAAGCTCCTACCAGTAATTGAGGAAGCAACGATTGAATATGATGAAGAAGGAAGTGAAGTAATTGAGGAAATAGACCCTGAAGCTTTATAAGAAAATTTATTTTTGAAGAACTGAAGGTGTCACCACGTCACCATGTGTCACCAGGTTAATTAACTTCTTTTAAAAATGATGACAACATGACATTTAGACAACAGGTACGAAAGGAGGAAGGCATTTATGAATTATTTTTGAAGAACTGAAAGTGTCACCACGTCACCATGTGTCACCAGGTTAATTAACTTCTCTTAAAATTACTGACAACATGACATTTTGACATCACAGCAGGATTAATGCAAAAATAAATTCAAATCATACTTTATAAAGCTTCATTTACAGGTATTTCATCATCAGTAAATGAATCCTCATTATCGTTTGGTTCAACCTGTTTATATAATCCTTTCATTTCTTCTTTCAAAACATAACACCATGTTTGTTTACCATCTATTCTTCTCTGTTTCCTATCACATTTATCCTTAATGCTCATTTGAAAGTTTTTGTCTTTCATGTCTGATGGTTTGCAGAATAGAGCATTTTTACACGTCATACCTGCACACAATTCATCATAATGTGTATTTATCCATACATCTAAAGGATTTGTTGATAATTCAATTAAATCTTGTTTGGCTTCAGTCATCGGAATGATTCGTACATTAAATGATGAAAGGTCATATTGCATAAAATATGTTAAAAGGTTATCATAAAATTCCTTTGTGCATGAATTCATCAAATTCTTGAAATAATCAAATTGACCCTTAAATTTACCATTAACTCTTAAAACTACGTATCTTCTGTCTCCAACTTCAATTTTGACAGGGTAGACGTTATTAGTTACCAAAATGAAATTGGCAACATTCTGAGCAGTTCTTCTGGGTTGATTCTTTTCATTAATTCTAATCTCATTATCCGTAATAATTGATTTCAAAGCGTTGAAGTTTGCGAGTCTGTCTTCACCTACATTCTTGAGTTCATTAAGTACAAGAAACATTTTATTCTCAACTACTGAATTGAAATTACCCGTTAGCTCACTTATTTCAGTAATGTTTTTACATGAATAACCGGCGAGAAGTTCAGAAATAATGTCTGTAAATCTGTTTTTACCTGTTCCCTGAAGTCCTTTCAAAATAATTGCTGTTTCATTCTTGATTCCAGGATGTTGAATCATTGATGCAATCCAGCCGAGAAGGTATTTATACACTTCATCGTTATTATCACAAATGGCTTCTTTAATGAAATTCATAAACATCTCAATTTTTGAGTAATCTGGTTTTTCGAGAACGTTGTATTTATAACCCTGAAACGTTGAGAAAACATCTGGAGAATCAGATTTAAAGCAAACACCCTTAACGGTTAATGAGGATAATTGATTTAGTAGTACACCCCATGCTGTTATTGTTTTACCTTCTTCTTTAAATAATTTAATCATTTTAAGTGACTCTTTCATGTTTGATTGAAGAACGAATGATATTTGATTCATTTTGTCGTGGATATTATAGTCCTTTTGAATGAAATATTTATTTCCACAATCTACAAAACGGATTACACGTGATAAATCCTCAATTACTTCAGAACTGTTTTTATACTGATGATTTTCAGCCTTGCGTCTAATATCTGTTATCAAAAACGAGTCATCAAGTTTGATATCAAATGTTATTTTTGGCTTACGTAATAAAGGTAAAACGTATTCATCATAATATTCCTTTTGATATAGTTTTAGAATCTTCACCAAAACAAATGGAGAAGTCATTAAATGTGCATATCTACTACGTGCTTTTTCAAAATTACTTTTTGCATTTTCAGTTAAATTGCAGAAGTTATAAACGTTATCGTATGCTTCATTAATTAAATGATTAGGTAACGAATTAATTGCTTGAAACAGTGTGAATAATATAACTTCTTTTTCTAAATTCATGTTTCCACCGTCATTATGTACTTCAAAATCACAGATGCCATCAACTATGCTCTGGGCAAGTTTATCGTCAATGTTTACATCTTTGTTTTCATTCATGATAGTCTTTATTTCTTCGTTTTTCTGTTCAACTCTTACCTTAATATTCAAATCATTTAATATATCATTCACTGTTCTGGTTAATGTTGAATCATAACTTCCACGAATGAATGAGTATGTATTGATTGGTTCTGTTGCATTCTTGCGAACTCTTGAATCAGCCATAACTACTAAAGAACGCTTTGAATCATCCATAGAAGTCATTATGTCAATATCATAATCATTGCAGGAATAGCATTTAATCATTCTGTTCGAAACTGAATAGAAGAAATTAGTGTTACAATAAATGTGAAGACCTCCTGAAGCAGTTTTAACGATAACATCTTTATCCGAAAGTTTTGATAAAATATCTTTTCTAACCGTTTCTTTAAGTTCATCATTGTATGATTTATTGATATCAACATCTATAATCGTTAAATTTGATATTTTATTTACTAATAAAGCCATACCAGTTTTCCTTCCTCTTCCTCCATCGTGTTTGAGGTAGTTGTGTAAATAAATCTTGTTTTCACCAATTCTTTCGTTGAGGGTTTTAGTTTCTGCCGTAACTAATTCCTCAGCTAATGAATCAATAACTTTTTCATCAGAAATGATAAAGTTGCTGTTGTTGTTTGTTGCTGTCATTTATATAGGAATAAAAAAATAAAAATAATTTTAAAACTAACTTTATTTTTGGACTGCATCAAATTTCCTGAACTGTTGTCTAAATGTCATGCTGTCAGTAATTTTAAGAGAAGTTAATTAACCCGGTGACACATGGTGACGTGGTGACACCTTCATAATTAATGAAAACATTTACGTAAACATAAACGATAAAATTTATTTCCTGGACTGTTGTCTAAATGTCATGCTGTCAGTAATTTTAAGAGAAGTTAATTAACCCGGTGACACATGGTGACGTGGTGACACCTTCAGTTCTTCAAAAATAATTAATTATTGAATAACCTAAAAACCATTAACGATAAAATATATTTTTGGTCGTTTATGACAAAAATCATGAGTTCATTTACTCACAATATTTTTGTACAAAACGACCCCAAACTTTTAACTTCTTTTCTGCAGCTTCTAATGCTATCTTAGCGAGTTCATATTCTCTAAATTCTCTCTTTAAATCTTCTTGTTCCCATTGGTCTAGTTCGTATGGAGAATCTCTATAGTTAGTATACATATCAAGGGTACGACGGCACTGCGCGCCTCCTTACCCTTGATATGTGAATTTGACACTTTACGAAACCGTTAACGTACATTTTACAACACAAACGACAACACCAACTTAACCTTAAATATTTACAAAGCCGCCAACCACTTCACCTCACTAACGTTTTCACAAACGACTTCACTACTGTAAAAATAAACGTTCTCACTTACAAAAGTATTGCAACTCCTCCCATTGCTGTGCTTCATATAACAGCTCATAATCTTCTGACTCACTTTCTTCTTCATATAGGTCAAAATCACTGTCATAGTTTATACCTGTAAGTTTTGACAAAGCTAATGAAACACGCTTACCGTTTGTATCATATGCTTGTATAAACTTTCCATTCTTCATTCCTTCATAAACGCTCAAACTAACTTTACCCTTTCTCCCTCGTATCTGATAGAATGTATTTTCACGAGGAACGAAGAACAAATTCTTGAACTCATGACCGTTGTAGTTTGTTATCTCAATAGTTTTCGTCATTTATATAAAAATAAAATAAAAAATAAACTTAAAAATTAATGATATCACCACCCTCACACGTATGAAAACATAGCACAAAAATAAATTTAGGGTAGATGGGTAGATCTACCCTCATTTCTACCCTCTTTTTTCACCCTGTTGAATTCATTGCTTTATAACTCTCTTCCTTGGTTTCTTTTTAGTTGCTTTCTTCACGTCTGTCTCCAACTTGACTGTCTTTCTTCTTCGGCCGTAATGATACCAGTTACTTCCACCAGTCAATGGGTCAAATGGTCTTTCGTAAGGGTTTCCATACATTCCATAGGGACCATACGGAAGAACTACTGGTGGAGAAGAAACATTTTCTTTAGTTCCATCGACTCTATTTAAATGCATTGTTTCACCTTTCATCTGGTCATTAAAGTCTTTTGCGTGTTTTGCAAACTCATCGTCCTTTCCTAAAGCATTTTCTGACTCAGTCGCAACCAAATTGGATGCTTTATTTATGAGCCCTATTTTATTTAATCTTAACTTCTTTGCAACCCAGCCTCCAATCTTTCCTTTATTTGCATCTAATGTCTTCGAAAACCTTCCTCCACTCATTTTATTTACTGCGTCATAAGCTCCAAGTGCTTTTGCTCCAAATGCTAATGCTTTTGTTCCCATTGCGCCTAAAGCTGCCCAAGCTACCATTTACACCATATTAAAATCATCTCTCTTCAATATTATCTCATAAAAGTTCTCATTACTGGAGAAAGTCAATGAAACATAAACATTCTCATTCATAA